GGGGGCAAAAAATTTTGTATGGGCATGAAAATTTCAGAAAAGTCACATCTTATACCAGGTTAATACATACTAAAAGTTCAGATCGGTCACGGCAAGGATGAGAGAGAAAAGGTTCAACTTGCCGCCCCGTGCTCAGTGTGCTATTTTACCCTTAAAAAACCGCAAAAATTCGATTATTTTTCGAAAATCTCAAACACTCTACTTCGAAATTGGCCAAAACCCCATCAGGCAGTACCCTACTACAACTTACAATTTGAATTCTTGATTTTGAATGGAAATCACACTCCGAAACCTTCATTTTATCATTAAATTCGATATTTTGGAGTCCGCAACTTGGCAACGCTGCCTCGGGAGCAGAAAAATTTGTATGGGCATGAAAATTTCAGAAAAGTCCCATCTTATACCAGGTAAAAACATACTAAAAATTCAGATCGGTCAAGGCAAGGATGATGGAGAGGGGGTTTAATTTGTCGCCCGGAGGCCAATTTTGCTATTTTACCCCTAAAAAACCACAAAAATGCGATTATTTTTCGAGGAGCTCCGACAACCTATTTCGAAATTGCCCAAAAACCCATCAGGGAGTACCCCACTACAACCTCCAACTTGAATTTTTGATGTACAACAAAGTCGCATTTAAAGTGAGTTCAGGGGCACCGTGTACGGCGACAAAACTATTCCAGTTATCGTGAAATCACCCAGAAGATGAAAGAATTACTTGATCCCTGCTAGTGAATCATTCAGGTGGGTTGGTAGGAACTACGTACTGAGCTGATTGCTCAGGGAAGTCATTAAGAAGTAGACACTGATCTACAATTAGCTCTTGTTATCTTCTGGGATATTGGCTTTTTCAAGTGAAGAAAATGAGGAGAAACCCACAGTATCGTCATGCATAAAATCTCATTTGACAGACCATATCAAATTATTTTGTTGCTTTAAGGAAATAGGTGTTGGTATCATCATGTAACAAACCATTTTGAGCTAAGACCCGAATTTTGCTGTCTGATTTTAATTATTTCATTTTAGTGTGCATGAGTAGATAATCGAAATTTAAAAGAACCAATGGCTTCAAAAAACGGGCTGTTTTAAACAACGTTTTGGCGTAGACTACACATACACTTTTGCTACTGTTATTAATAAGTCCTCCCTCAGATTGTCATTTGCACTATCAGCTCAGCTGGGTCTAACAACTTATTCAAAAATCGATTAAATACTAACTTCCAATACATCAAACGGAAGCTTTTATTATGCTTTTTCATTTAAAAAAAAGTTTGGTGCATTATCTTTAACCGTTCTCGAGTTATGCCCAAAAGAGTGATTTTCATTGGACCCCCCTCCCCCCTCTCCAGGGGGGGGACAGATCAAAAAGCTGGCCATTTTCGGACACCTTGGACCATACCCTTTGATACCTGAAAAAATGAAAAATTTCCATTCTGGGCCCAACTCATATGGCAGATGCAACAACCTCATATTATAAATTTTATAGTGTAGTAAATATTTATGGGGAAGGAAATGTTTAAAAGAAATGTTTAGAAAGTTATGGGAAGATAAGTCAGGAAATTGTGAAATCCAAGATAACTTGTCATCATCCTGTAAGTTCATTCAATTTTGAGGTGGTTTGGAGCGCTACGTGGGAGCAAACCTACTGAAATCAATCACCTGGGAACAGGGAGAGATGAACGAATCGTAACATTTTTATTCTCCTATTCTCAGGGGAAACTAGTAGAATAGCAAAAGCTATGGATCCTTCTTAATATTACTATCAACCACATCAATTTTCTACCACCCTATTACTTGTTTATTTCTTCAGAGCAGCTGCAGATATCAATATGCAGTTTTGATTAGCGTTTTTCCAAAGGGCCATGACCCCCAGCCCCGGAGGGTGACAATGGTATGTCAAATGGGAACATTGTGTGATACCTCATTGAAAAAAAAAAAATCTAGCGAAACCTGCAGGTTGTGCATTGTTACAAAATGCTCCATCCGGCATATCCAAGATGCCCGCAGATGACAAGTTGCATTGGGTTCTTATGTTTAATAGGGCACTACAGTATTTGCCAAAATTTTCATATTTCCTGTTCTTTCCAAGGAGGTATTACACATTGGGGATGCCCATTTTAAATTTACAAGCTGCTTCCTTCCAGAAATTTACGTGATTTTATTTCAGGAATTCCCATCCGAACTGTGTGTCATTATCTGTATTTGTTCTAGAGATAGTAAAAAAAATTATTCATACTTTTCGCACGCACTGGATAGAAGGGTCTGACTTTCCAGGAGATTTTGATGCTTAAACTGCAGACTCTTAAATGACAACCTTGGTATTTTATTTAGAGAATAGCTTCGTTCAGTATTATTTACAGTATTTGTTTAACAATTACTTCCAGAAGATTGGGAACGAACCCTTCATTCTTTGATATTGCTGCCAATTTTGTTACCCAGTAAAAACGACAGGAAGTGGAAACCAAGCAGAATTGAATCAAAACATGGGTTCTTACTGTATACTGAAACCAATCAGGAAGCAATCCAGAATTGAGGAATTATATTCCTTAATGTAATAAAATTAAGGAAAAAGATACTGCATTAAAGTGGGTATCCAGAGCAGCCCATTCCAGTCGTAGTAGGTAATGAATGTAATGTCTGCATAGGCAATAATATACAGGGTTATCCAAAAGTCACTGACCACCCCTGTAACTTTTTTCCAAATTGAGATAGAAGTTTGAAACTTTGGGAATGTTCCTTGGTCTAAGGTGGCAACTTTTTGGTCCCCCCAAAATTTTGGGGGGCGGCCCCCCTTAAGGGGGGCGGGGGCTAACTTTTTTTTTCAAATGGCAACCCCCCCCTTTGTGATACCTCATTCGAGAGATAATAAAAAAAGAAAATTTTTGGCGCAAACCGCAGGTCAAAATGTTGATTTTGGACAAAATGGCGGCCGGTCAAAGTTCAAAATGGCGGAAATTTGGCATCTCTGTTGTTTATAGACGGATTGGTGTGAAACTCGGAATCCTAGGGTTTTCCGGGATGAGAAAAACGATTCTGGCATTGGTTTTCCAGAAAATTCAGTCCTTTTCAAAATGGCGGCGGTCAAAATGGCGGCCTCGAGCGGGAAGTGGATATTTAGGCTGCATATCGTTGGATTTGCATGAAACATGGTATCCGGGGGTATTTCGGCACGAGAAGAACGAATCTTTCATTGGATATCTGAAATTTTGAAAAATTCCAAAATGGCGGCGGGAAAATTGCGGTAAATCAGTTTTACGGCTCTTCACCGATGGATTTGCATGAAATTCGATATCCTGGCGGTTTTTGGCTGGATAAAAAGGAATCATTCATTAGATTCTTGAAATATCAAATAATTTCATGCTAATCCATCGGCAAAGAGCCGTAAAACTGATTTACCGCAATTTTCTCGCCGCCATTTTGGAATTTTTCAAAATTTCAGATATCCAATGAAAGATTCGTTCTTCTCGTGCCGAAATACCCCCGGATACCAAGTTTCATGCAAATCCAACGATATGCAGCCTAAATATCCACTTCCCGCTCGAGGCCGCCATTTTGAAAAGGACTGAATTTTCTGGAAAACCAATGCCAGAATCGTTTTTCTCATCCCGGAAAACCCTAGGATTCCGAGTTTCACACCAATCCGTCTATAAACAACAGCGATGCCAAATTTCCGCCATTTTGAACTTTGACCGGCCGCCATTTTGTCCAAAATCAACATTTTGACCTGCGGTTTGCGCCAAAAATTTTCTTTTTTTATTATCTCTTGAATGAGGTATCACAAAGGGGGGGTTGCCATTTGAAAAAAAAAAAGTTAGCCCCCGCCCCCCTTAAGGGGGGCCACCCCCCAAAATTTTGGGGGGACCCAAAAGTTGCTACCTTAGACCAAGGAACATTCCCAAAGTTTCAAACTTCTATCTCAATTTGGAAAAAAGTTACAGGGGTGGTCAGTGACTTTTGGATAACCCTGTATACAGAGTTGACACACCACTATTAGCACTGGATATTTGTTGCAAATTGTAATCCATGCTAAAAATCAAGCCACCGCCGCACAGCTTATTCTCAATTTTGTTTTTACGGTGCTATCTGTATGAAATAGACCCGGATGGTGCATTAGAGTACCAAGGCTTAAGAACTTTGTTTCATGACTTAACTTATACGGATCCAAAGTGATGGATTTGCATTCTGATCCAAGTTCATTTAAAATGCAAAAAAAGTCAATGAGGTACTGGGCAGGTGACAAGAAAGTATCTAGTGTAATAGTGTAAGAGGAGCAAGGAGTCCATCATATTGACCTTTTCTCTTTTCTATGTTTGCAACGGCTGTCTATGATCATGCGTGGGAAAATAGTGTGCGGATGAATTCCAACCGCAGCACAAAAAGTGCACCTGAAAATGAGAAAAAAAAAAGGCGCTGGGTGTCGCAAGAAAAAATCCAAAGTAGTGTTTTCGCCAAATTCTTCACCTTCAAAAAATAAGGCCAGAAGTTCTGCTGCTCTAGTCTTCACTGCCCCTCCAAAAACAATAACAAACAACAAAAATCTAAAATCAACAGTTGAAAGTGATGCAGATGAATCAAATTCCAGACACTCTCCCAGTATTCTGGGTCTGTCTCATTTTGATGAAAAAAATCGCAACAAGCGCAATTCGGATGTCAATTTTGATGAGGACATAATTGGACATAATGATAACGGTATCAACAGTGATCCTATTCAGTAATTTCAGGGCCTAGAGTAGGTACATAATACCTCAGTGATCTAGTGAAAAAACACCAGGTAGCTGCATGCAAGTCTCAAGTAAATGAACATACACTCTTCTCTGATTCGAGTTGCACCTCCTGAACTCGTACCGAATGATGCACACTTGAAAGTCTTGTTTACGCATAAAACTTGGAACAATTTAACCTTTCAACAATTCTTTGTCTTCTGCATGAATAAGTGGATTGCTCGTGGTGCATGTTGCAATATTTTTACCAATAGATATTTTTACATCGGAGTATCATTGCAAACAAATTTCAGAAAATTTTATCAGTATTTTTCACAGGTAAACAGAAAAATCACTGCAAATTTTAGGGGAATTCGTACGACGATTCTCTTATAAATGTTCTTATGCCAGTAAAAAATACTGAAATGGAAGAAACGGCAAATTTACTTTTCGTGTGGAATAGAAATGATAACGAAATAATGGAGGATTTTTCTCAATGATGATCTTCTCTTATAGCTTTTGAATGGTTTATAGAAGTGTTCCAAAATGTATTCTCTTCACCAGACATTGTAAACAGATTTTTCGGTCAAGAAGAGGAGACGAATTCATTGGCTTACCGATGACCTTGTCTGCAGCATTGTTACTTACTATGTATGTATTCAAAATTATTGAAATAATTAATTCATTTAACTCTATCTTTGTTGTTCCAGCATAAAGTTTCCCTGGATGCAGCAACACTGCGTATGTGCTTACACAGTGTTAAGGATGGCGCTGCTGGCGATTCATTATATGCTAAAAATTTAGCCTTAGCTCTGTACGGAGAAGAAGAGTTAAGGAACTCATCGGTCACAGGCAAGGCCTTTAAGAATAGTAAAGAGGCAAAACCCAAACCGAAGCTGGACGCCAGACAATATGCTCTTCTGAAAAGTAAGTAATTGTACCTTCAATTATTCTTACAATGGTTCAAATTGGTCTCCATTTGGACCGCGTTTAGCAGAAAGGAACCAAGCCACATCAGCTATTGCCAAACTTAACGAGGCAAGTTATTTTTTTACAAGACATCCTTTGTGCAAATTCTTTGGACAATTTTTAGGAATTTGCTTAGCACTATGCAAATAATTCGCTGTAATTTTTCCAAAAATTCGCACAACCTTCCTCATGTAAAAAATTAAATTGTCTGATTAAAGTTGGCAATAGCTGATGTGCCTTGGTTCCTTTCTGCTCAATGCGGTCCATTTATCACCTACAAAAGCACTCACACTGCTTGTCAAGCTGTGTGACAGCAACTTCTGTTTTTCAAAAGAAAACACTATTAAGCTCTCTATACTGATATACATCAATGGTCTGAGGCAGAGGCCGCATTGCAAAGAAAATCCTGATCACCTTATGTCCTCATGTATATTTAAGTGACTACTAATATGTACATTTTTCTCTACAAGGCTCTCCAATCATCAGTATGAAATTTTCATTGAATGAGTTTTGAGTCTTTAATGGAAAAACATGACTCACATAATTCAAAGAGCTAAGATGATACACCTTCACTTTCCCGTTATAATTTCTGACAAATCAAGCTTAGGCGACTTTTTTCTGCTCTGAAATTTGGTTACTATGAGTCCCCTTCTGGTAAATTAAATGCTCTCACCGCTGCTCATGGCAAAAAATGAATCCCAACTTGGAAAAAACTTTGCAAGGTAATAGCTTTCATAATCTTTCCTTTCAAGAATGAAGAAGCTGAAATATGTGGAGTTTGTCCTCTTGCGTTTATTTAAGGTAACCCCATGACCTAATTAAATTTATCTATATTTATACTGGGATATTGCATTTTGCAGTATTTCCTTTCATCATGCCTATGTTTTGGAAACTAAAATTTTCCTATCTTTGCTTTTAGGTTTGTATGAGAAGAGAGTCAAATCCAGTACCGTCGAAGGAGATGCCAGTGAAGAGACTCGTCTGAACCGATTAAACGTATACATCGCAGATAAAATCCAAAAATTGTGCCAAAAGTCTAAGAGGAAATCTTAAGTTGTACGTAAAGACCTGTAAATAGTATTTATTATCATTCATTTTAATTCTAGATTTTTTGTGTGCAAATACAATCTATGATTTTGATTATGAATCCGTCGTATTTCCTAATTTGTAAGGTGCTGAGAGTTATACAAATTTAAAAAATACAAATACAAATACAACTATAAAAATAAAATACAAATACAAATACAAATTATAATACAAATTTTTAATACAATATAAAATACAAATAACAGGTCTTAATAATACAAATACCTCAAAACCTGTTCTGTTTTTTAATGGTTTATTTTGATCATATACAGGGTTANGCTCTTTCTAACGATGTATCACATGATGGGGGTTGCCATTTGAAATTTTTGAGTTGCCCCCCGCCCCCCCTCCCCCTGGGGGGGATGAAGAACTGGAAAGCACCTCGAAAAGTTTCCCCCTCGATATGAAGAAGGACGCCACAAACCGCAAATCGATATCATAATTAGAACTAAAGTTATGGCCAGTGGTGCGTAACTTTTGAATAACCCTGTATCTATGATTTTTACTATGAAGCTTGTTCTGCAATTTGCAAATTCATTTGTGTTCGCGTCTTGCATCCAGTTGAATGGATTTTTACCGAAAATTTGATCACTAAACAGTTATTAGTGTACATGAAGTTCCAACGAAGATGGAGGGAGCTATAGTACTTATCTCATCCTTGGCTTTCGTCTAAGTCATTTCCATCATTTCTCTTCTCCAGCGAAAAATGAAGATATAAGACCCCCTTTTAAATTTCGAGGAAACGGAACAAGGATACACCCTTTTGGATCCGGAGCATCCACAGAATAGAATTAAAGTATTGAAGGTCCCGATCATTCGTATCAGCTACAAGAAAGAAGTATACCAACACATCAAAGCGCCTAATGGATACCTCACATTAAATGGCGGGGATGGATCTGGTATATTGCACTTTCCATTGAACGATGATGTCCGGAGAACATATTTAGAAGGAAATCCTGCCAGGCTAAAATTACTGGAGCAAATCAAAGGCAAAGTGAAAACCCGGACATGCAGATTGTTACCATGTGGCTATGCAGAGGTAATCGAACATTATCCTAAAAGCGGACGGTGTCCCATTATTTCAAATTGGCACAGAAAAGTACAAAATGACGAAAGCGGTAACGAATACATCACTGATCTGGAGGACCCGCTGCTACTAAATGTTGCAGGAGATTTTGGTGTCGACGGATTTATTACCGATAAAGAAAACTTGTTCAATCGAATAGCTTTGCATGTAGGAAGGCATGGGCTTCATACGAAGTATACATACTTCGGAGCTAGAAGAGCCGAGTTTCTGGAGCAAATCAAAGGCAAAGTGAAAACCCAGACATGCAGATTGTTACCATGTGGCTACGCAGAGGTAATCGAACATTGTCCTA